AACTAATATAAAGTAAAATTTTAAAAAAGAAGTGATTACTTAGTATTTTTAATATGATGATAAAGTAGTCATAGTAAAAATATAAAGACAATATATAAAAATTTGTACAAAGAATACTCCCAATTGTCCAAATAAATCATTCTCTAAGAAAATATGAGAAAGGCAGCATCTAATACTAAAGTGTTCTGTTATTAACATAAAAGTGTATATTTAATCTAATTGTGAATATTTCCTCTTTATACCTTTCAGTCAGTTTTTTTAAGAAAAATTTCATTATTTTTGTGTGTGTGTACCATCAAATCGTATTTGTCTGGTACAGGAGGAGATTGCCCCTCCTTCTCCAGCAGAGTGTCTGGTTGATTCAAACTGTGCACCTCTGGAATTGCAGTGTACAACTTCATGCCATTAGGCCACCAGAGCTCCCTGAATATTTCCTCTTTATTTCCTCTTTATAATAGGATATTTTTTCTTATTTATATTTTACTTTATTTCAAATTTCCTACAAGGAATAATAATGGTTTTATTGTGATTTGAATAAAGGTTAAAAGCTAATTGGTTTTTCATTCAACCATTCATGCATATATTATTTTATGACATTACAATAATCATCAAGTACCACTATTCTTCTAACATCAGACTGTGATTCTCATTTCCATTTACCCTTCTATATTCCTTCTTCCTGTCTTCTGAGATTTATTGCTAGGCACAGATTGTCCTTGTATCTTACAATGGTTGACTATTCTAAGAAGAGTGTCTCTCTGGTGTTAATATTCATCTTATGGGCCATTCTACTGTTGGATGCAAGTTGAACCATGAGACTGAGTTGTTTTGTTTTTTCCCTTTTGTCTTTTTATTAGTCTTATTTTATACTTGTTTATTTACAAAGTCCATATACATTGTTTTTCGCACCAGAGCGTTCCCATTTCCTTCAACACCCCCACCCCAGCAAATTGCGTAACACAATGATTAACACTCCATCTCCCCACACTTCCTCACCCCTCTACCCCTTGGATACTCATACACATTCTACAATAGAGGTCTTATGCAGTACGTGTTCTTATGGAACTGAGTTAGTTCACTTAGCATAATTCTCTCCAGTCCCTCCCCAGTTAGGCTGTAATTTAAAAATCATTGCTCCTGTGTGCTGCATGGTATTCCACTGTGTGAATATACCATAATTCCTTAATCCAGGCCTCCCAAAACTCTTGAACTTTGAAAAATGTCTATAGTTGTAAAGGGGGTGAGTTTGTCCCAGGTTTAAAGGGTGATAAAGTCTTTGGGCCTCCCTCAGTCTCTTACTGACAAGTAGTACTAGCTATTTTTATATTTTTGTATTCTGTTCCACATATTTTCCCCCCACTCTATCCAGGTTCTTCTATTGTGATCTTTTTAAGAGGGGTTAGCAGTGGTAGCTGCATATAATCTAGTTCTTCTAATTTCAGAGTAGTAGAGATTTTGGATAGAGTGGCCCATTAGTCTTTTTTGACTTTAATAATTTTTTAATTGTGATACTAACAAGTTTACAGAAGACTTGAATTTCCATTCATTCGTTGTACATTTTCCTCCCTACCCACCTCACTCTGCAGTTCACTTTTGTCTTTAAAAAATTAATTCATAGTTGAGTAATTTCCTCCCTCTCTCCCACTCCAGTCCACTTTGCTATGTATCTCTTGTTCTACATTGTTGTCATGCAAATAATGCCTAATCATATATTCCTTTTAAACTATTGGACCATTAATCTTTCGACTTTATTGTTTCCATGCATTTCCTCTCCTTCTTTGTACCAGATAGGGCGAAGCCAATAGTTGATACCTTAAATGACTGCTAGAAAGCTTTTAAGTCTCTTGGCACTAAGTAGGAAGGGAGAATGTAGAACATTGTCTTTGTGGACTATGTTATGCCAATTGACTTTTATGTTTCCTAAGACTATGGTCCCAAGGCCCTAGGAGCAGCACTCTTAGGGTGACTAGATAGTATTAGTAGGTTTATGTAGGTTATCCACATGTTGGCCCTGTTACATACATTGATATGTCAAGAGTATATGGGAATATGAGTGTAGAAATACTAATATACTAATATGAATGTAGATATATATTATCTATAAACTTATGTAAGGTTATAGTTGGAGTTTCATTTAACCTGCTCCAAAGTGTTAATTTATCTTGCCTGATATTGCAGGATTATATATATAATAAACCTTATCTCTTTTCACACTTAGTCTTTCTTATGCACCTCTCTGTCATCTTCCCTTTATTTAAGGACCTTGTGATGATGCTTCCCTAATATATTGCCATTCCCTTCAGACATCTTACTATGTGTCTATTTAGTGATTTTTTTGCTTACCTTTCCCTCTCTTCCAACCCTAGTAACTATTTAAGAATTTTTCTCTCAATGTATTAACCTTTCTTTAATTTTTTTATAATAGTGAACTCATACAATATTTGTCCTTTTATGGCCAACTCATACCACTCAGCACAATGTCTTCAAGATTTACCCATGTTATGCGGTATTTTGCAAATTCTCCAGTATTCTTCAGTGTTTCATAATAGTTTCTTGTGTGCATATATATATATATATCACGGTTTGTTTATCCATTCATCCATTGATGGCTGTACAGGTTATTTTCAACTCTTTGCTAGTGTAAATAATGCTACAGTGAATATAGATATGCACATGTTAGCTCATGCTATAGCTCTTATTTCTTTTAAGACATATATACGTAGTATTGGAATTGCAACATCAAATATTACTTGTATTTCCAACATTTCAAGGAAATTTTAAAGATTTATACAGTGGTTGCAACATTTTACAGTCCTACCAGCAGTGTATGAGTTTTAATCTTTCCACATCCTCTCCAATATTTGGTGATTAATAATATTTTTATAAAAAAGATACAAAAATCATTATTAAAATATAAAATTCATTCTCTTGTGTCTACTCTCTCCTATGACTTGATCACACTTCAATAATCCTTAGAGACCTAATGGCTAGATTTTGGTTTTTT